GGAGCCAAGTTGGAGACAGGCAGGCAAGTCTGGAATCAGCCGGATCTACAAGACAAGGGGTAGGCGGGTAGGCAAGTGTGGAGCCACGCGGCCCAGAGGCCGAGCTTCGACAAGACATCTGGAAAGTGCAAGCCAAGCGGCCAAGATCATACAGCACACTTGGAAACCGTGGGGGACGAGCGGAAGCGTTAGTCATGCTGACCAGAGAGCACCAACACTGTACTTGGCGACAGTCGGAGACAAACAGGAGACAAGCGCGTATAGGTCAAAATAACCCCAATAATTAGATGGATAATGCTCACGCTAAACACACACATATATATATATATAAACTGTGCTTTGTAGTGCTTAATTTTTTGGCCCGTCACCAAGTGTAGAGTCATGTTGCCCAGAGCACCCACAGCATGCTGGGAAACAGTGGGAGACAAGCGGGAAACAAGCGGGCAACAAGCGGGCAACAAGTGTAGAATCAGGCGGCCCAGAGAACCCAAAGCATACAGCAGGACAGTCGGAGACAAGCGCGGGACAAGTGGGGGACAAGTGTAGAACCATGCAGCTCAGAGCATCCACAGCATACTGGGAGACAAGTGGGAGGCAAGTGCAGCATCATGGGGCCCAAAGCACCCGCAGCGCGAGTCATTCGGCCCAGAGCACCTACAGCACATTGGGAGACAAGTGGGAGATAGTCTAGAATCAGGAGGTCCAAAGCATCCACACCTTTCTTCGAAAGCGGAGAACCAGGCAGCCAACTTGGAGACAGTCGATCCAGCGCAGAGCCTGGGAGAGGGAGACAACTAGGAGACAGGTGCAGCACGGGAGACAAGCGTAGACATGCGGCCCAGAGCACCCGCAGCGTACTTCGAGACAGTGGGAGTCAAGCGGTGGGCAACCTGGCGACAAGTGTGGGAGAAAAGGGGGAGACAAGTGCAGAATCATGTGGCCCAGGGCACCCAGAGTCAGAAACAAGTGGGAGACAAGCGGGGTACAAACGCAGAATCATGCGGCCCAAAGCATCCACAGACAAGTGGGATACACAAGTGCAGAATTATGCGGCCCAGAGCATCCACAGCATACTTAGAGACAGTGGGGGACAAGTGGGAGACAAGGGAAACAAGTTTAGATTCAGGTGGCCCAGACCGCCTTGAGCGTATATGGGAGAGAAGTGTAGGTTCATGTGGCCCAGAGCACCTACAGCATACTGGGAGATGAGTTGGAAACAATTGTAGCACCATGCGACCCAGCGCTTCCAAGGAATGGCAAACAAGCCGGAGGCAAGTCGGAGAAAAGTCGGAGACAAGCAGAATCATGCGGCCCAAAGCACCAACAGCACACTGCGAGACAGGTGGAGAGAAATGGCAGAAGTGGGGGAGAAAAGTGTGGAACCATGCAACCCAGAGCATCCATAGCGTACTTGTTACTTGGAGACAGTGAGACGCAAGTGGGAGACAAGTGTAGAATCACGCGGCCCCGATCACCCATAGCATCCTAGGAGAGTGTACTGGGAGAAAAGCAACGCCCAGGAACGCAAGCCCGGAGATGGAAGCAAAATCATGCAACCCTTTCACAGGAGTAAGAAACCCATACAGGTAGCTCAAAACATTTAGTTGAGATTGCAGCCTGCCTTCACAAGTTCTTGCTCAATCTTGATTTATATAACATGTGTGCTGTAAATCTTTGTTGTGTTGGAATGATCAAGGCATAGGGCGCTTCATTTTGTTTGCAATATATCTTCAAGGACCACAATCGCATTATACCAATTATTCCCTGCCACGGGCCCCCCCCCCATGCCATTGACGGTTGGCGTCGATTTTGCGGCACCACTTCTTGTGCATGTAGTCAGGGTGGACTGGGTTCAGGTGTCTCGATACATGTAGCTGTAACCTGCAACTCTCTTTATACTGGCAATACTGCATAGGATTTATCTCCGGCGCCAAGCGCCACTTTCAGAGCATGGGTGCGTTGCGTTGTGGCGCGCCTGGTCCATCGGCCTGACCATCGGCCTGACCATCGGCCTGTCCATCGGCCTCATCGGCTCCATCGGCTCCATCGGCCTCAATGGCTCCAGCGGCTCCGTCGGCCTCATCGGCTCCAGCGGCTTGAGCGGCCTCATCGCCTCCATCGGCCTCATCGGCCTCATCGGCTCCAGCGGCTCCAGTGGCTCCATCGGCCTCATCGGCCTCATCGGCCTCATCGGCCTCATCGGCCTCAGCGGCCTCAGCGGCTCCATCGGCCTCATCGGCTCCATCGGCCTCATCGGCTCCATCCATCGGCTCGAGCGGCCTCATCGGCTCCATCGGCCTCAACGGCTCCAGCGGCTCCATCGGCCTCATCGGCTCCAGCGGCTCCAGCGGCTTGAGCGGCCTCCTTGGCTCCATCGGCCTCATCGGCCTCATCGGCTCCAGCGGCTCCAGCGGCTCCATCGGCCTCATCGGCCTCATCGGCCTCATCGGCCTCATCGGCCTCAGCGGCTCCATCGGCCTCATCGGCCTCATCGGCCTCATCGGCTCCGGCTCCATCGGCTCCATCGGCTCCATCGGCCTCATCGGCTCCATTGGCCTCATCGGCTCCAGCGGCTCCGTCGGCTCCAGCGGCCTCATCGGCTCCATCGGCTCCATCGGCCTCAACGGCTCCAGCGGCTCCGGCGGCCTCATCGGCTCCAGCGGCCTCATCGGCCTCATCGGCCTCAGCGGCTCCATCGGTCTCATCGGCTCCATCGGCCGCATCGGCCTCATCGGGCCTCATCGGCCTCATCGGCCTCATCGGCTTCATCGGCCTCATCGGCGTCATCGGCTCCAGCGGCTCCATCGGCTCCAGCGGCTCCATCGGCCTCATCGGCCTCATCGGTGTCATTGGCTCCAGCGGCTCCAGCGGCTCCAGCGGCTCCATCGGCCTCATCGGCTCCAGCGGCCTCATCGGCTCCATCGGCCTCATCGGCCTCATCGGCTCCGTCGGCCTCAGCGGCTCCAGCGGCCTCATCGGCTCAATTGGCCTGATCGGCGCCAGCGGTTCCAGCAGCTTCATCGGCATGTTTTTCTGGAAAGCTTATTACGGCCCGAAGCAGGCGGAATCACTTGCATCCATTTTGCGCCTATGGTTTGCTTCGCTGCCTTTTGATTTAGTATTGATCCATAGCCTCTTGGCTTGCGATATAGCCTCCAAGTGTCGAACGTACGGCCCCCCCATTCGATTCCCCCCTGGTCCGCAGCCAAAAATGGACTCTGCGCATGTTGAAAAAGGAATCAGCGCATGTCACTGGAGATTGGTGATATTGGATATTTAATATGATGGGGAACAGCTAACATGAACCACAAACATAATATATATATATATATAATATAGTGGCTGTGTCTAGTTGCATATTGCCAGTTATGGATCCATATCTTCTATTCAGATGCTAACGCCGGCGGCTGACCAGAGAGGTCCTGCACAAGGCAAAGTGACTCAACTGAACCTCTCTCGGTTGAGGCACTATGAGTTTGGACGTGTTGCATTGAAAAAGCATCTATCTTCACAGAAGAAGTTCGATAGGTTATCATCTATACATATTATATCAAAATAATGATTGATATTGTATGTACAGTATACAGCACTATATCTGTGTCTACATATAAATATATAAAATAATGCATTATAATATTATATATATATAATATATACGTTGTTGTGTGGAAATGACACCAACTGCTCGGACCTGCGGTGTCAACTGCAGAGCATGAACACACGACAAAAAGTTTGCGAATTCAAACATGCTCAGTGTCAAACACAAGAGCAAACTGAACAAATGCACTAAACCAGTGGCAAATGGTTTGCATTATGTCGCATGGATCTGCCATCAAGAACTCTGTTACCCACTACTATGATGTCTCTCGCTCTGAATACAAGTCGAACCAACCACCCTCCCACCACAATATCTCGGTCTAACTTTGAATGGAAAGTGAAAAGATCTGAAAAGAACATACCCAGATATACTCAGTGATAAGCAGAACAATCTCTATATGAGCAATCAACACAAGTGTGGTGCCGCTAGTTCCATAGAGAAAGATAGCCTTTATACCAAGTCCCTCGCCCTGTGCTGTTGTCCCGAGAAAATCGAGCACCTGAGCTGTGCTCCGGGAAAATCAGTGTACATTGTACACACACACATACATATATATATATATATATAAATACAAATGTATATATATATATGTATAGAAAAAAACATTTGTCACACACCATCTTTCACACCCAATCTTTGACACACCATCTTACACACAACTTTGTCACACACCGTCTTTCACACACCATCTTTCACACACCATCTTTGACACACCATCTCCATCTTTCACCACACCATCCTTCACACACACACACAACTTTGTCACAAACCATTTTTCCTCCACCTCCGATCGGTTGAGGCACCTTGGCCCCTCTAATTCACATAGGTTGCCAACAAACTGACTAACGTTATCTTGCTTGTGGTTCTTATTACTGACTATGGCACGGGGTGGGTGGAATTTAGATATTGAGACAAGATGCATGCAAGAAGTTGTTGATGCCGGGGAAGTTCGGATATTGCAACAGCAAAAACGTAAGAAGTGGCGGAGAGGCCAATAGGGGAAGTCTACGTATGAAACGAAATGGATGCAGGAAATTGAGAGGCACCCAGGGGGAAGGGAAAGTTCGATATATATTGAAACAGAATGAACGCAAAAAGTTGTTGAGAGATATGCCCCCACCTACCTTTCGTCCTCCCCCTCTCAAGTGGCACGGTTTGCTGCCACATTTCCATCCATTTACCAACTGGTCAGACAATTTGTCTGCCGCATTGTTTGACAGTGGTCATAAGGTGGGTTTTTTCAGAACTTACAACGAAACCCTTTGATCAATCCATGCTAGCCGAGTTATGCAGTTGATGACAGATGCTGATCGAAATGTCCGCGAACAGGGTGGTGGCATTGTGCCATTAAATGTTTTGTGTGAAAGAATATCCGGGATGATGTCCTATCCGAATTTGCTAGGTGCAAACAGAGCCCTTCAAAACCCTGATGTACGTGCTTTAGCAAACTTGGCTGAACTTGCTGGAGTTGATTTACGGATCGTGCTGTTGGTTCGACATCCGGCGAGTGTTGTCAGTAGTGGTCTGAGAAGGGGATGCGAGAAAAGTGGTCTGATTCACGCCATCAAGATGTACACTTCGACCCTATCTTTGTTGAGTTCGCAACTCAGCCTGCTTGATCCTTCTTTCAGTGCTTGCTGGAGATATGAAGCACCCACTGCAGGGATTTCTGACCTGGTGTCATTCATGGGGGCACAGGAGGAAAAACCTGGGGATTTGAAGCGACTCATTGCTGGATCGTACAGAGGCAAGAAAAAAACTGCTGCTTCTGCAGGGTCGAAACTTGCAGATGAAGCCTTGCAAACTGCCTCGGCCTTGCACAATGAAATTCTCGCAACATACTGCAAACCAAGATTGACACGTTCCGGGCATTGACAATGAAGCGTTCCGGAGACTGACTGTCAGACCCTGTTGGCTTGTTGGTCTATCCTTTATGACATGACTATGAGTCCCACAACAGGCGGGGAAGCTTTGCACGAGGACCCGAGCTAATCTTAGCTGCCTATTATAAGAAGTGCCTGCAGTGCCAGGATGTGGTGCCGTGGTGCCATGGTGCCGTGGTGCCTGTTAAACCCTTTCCCGTGGGGACATCTCTGTGAGCTGTAATGAATCAACTCGCCACACGGATCACCAGGTCTCTTTCCACCGATGTCTTGATTGGTACTTGAAATTTGTTTGTGCCAGTTTCACAGAATTTGTTTTCTTTTCAAGGGCCTCTTTGCAACCTTCCTCAAGATCTAGTCGAATCATGTCGAATTAGTTATGGACACCACAAAGGTGTGTACACGATGTCAACCGAGAGCATTTCGATGTTTCCGCTGTCGTTGAGGGTAGTGTGACGCCGGCGCACCAAAGTGTTGGCTTTAAAGAGGCGTGTAATTTAGTTAAGGACGCAGTGATACCATGTGATACCTGTATGTTGCATTTCATGCTGTGATTGTTGTGGCTTTCGTTTTTCAGCTTGGAATTCCACTTGCAAACACAAGTGCGAGAGATGTCATTTGTTCCGGTCTATCAATGGGCGGAACAACGATCAGCTATAAGAACGCAACCCCCTTGAACCATGGCCAATGGCGGGTCCGGGAGCTGGAGAATGGGCCAAAGGCGATGTGGAAACTTGGTAATTTTGTCGTCCCAGGTGTGCAAATTTGGAAGTTTGGGAATAGGGGTTAAGGTGGTTAAGGCTTGCTTCACTGAACATTTTCAGCATGCAGCTTTGTGGCCCGTTCCAAGGATTGGAATGCGCATGAACCGCTCAACATCGGAGCCCAGATTGAGGGAATGGAAATTCCAATAGGATTATTTCAATACACACTATATTCAAAAGGACGTTTGCTGCAACCCTGACATTTGCCCGCCGGTCTCCCGAGACCATTGCCATCTTTCACAAGAGTAGTACTTTCCTCTGTGTTTCTACATACAGCATCACAATTCGAAAAAGTTACAGTCTAAACTTTGAAGTCCTCAACCATCTGGAAAGCTAAAGCTTTAAATTTAAAACCCCAACCCCCATCCCACGCCCAACGCCTCAACCCTAGCAACAAAATCCTCAAACCCTCTCTTTTCTGGGAAAATCTGAACTGGAGCGAAGATGCTTTAGCGACATTTCTGTGAGGTCTTGCAGGAAAGTTTCTCATACTTCAGACATGATGCAATTGGTCAATCAGTGGACAAGTAATGACAAGTGCGTTATGGAACTGACCATCTTTTATTGTACGGTTCCTTAATCTTCGGCGAAGGAGCTGGGAATTTGTTTAAGACTTTCCCGGGGCGCCGCTGCATTCTGGTTGCGCATGAAGGGCGATTGGTCTACGATGCTTGGGAGAAGACCCGGTTTGCAGTTTTGCACGTTGGCAAAAGCGATTTGATGAACGATTTGTGGTCGACAGAAAACAGATGAAAACAGAAATGGTCCTTTGCATCTCAAGGCCCCAAGGTACATTGATTCAATGCTGCGGGAACAAAGGAACACTATGCCCCTGGTGCAGGGCCTTGGGAACAGATTGAGTTGGACAGTGCAGCCAAGACGGTGAGCGCGTTGCTCATCGGAGTGTTGGTCACGACCCTTGGATGAAATGAACCAATTCACTGCAACCAATGCAAAAAAGCAATGCTAACAAATCTTGGGAGTGAATGAAGGGGCAGTTTTGCGGTATGGCAATTTGTGTCCTTTGATTTTCATACATATATACATATATATATATATGTAGAATACATATATGATATACATTGATATACTCCCTCTCTCTCTCTCTATCTATCGCTACATACATGCATACATGCATACATGCATGCATGCATACATGCATACATGCATACATGCGTACATGCGTACATGCGTACATGCGTACATGCGTCCATGCGTACATGCGTACATGCGTACATGCGTACATGCGTACATGCGTACATGCGTACATGCGTACATGCATACATGCATACATGCATACATGCATACATGCATGCATGCATACATGCATACGTGCATACATGCATACACGCATACATGCATACATGCATACATGCATACATGCATACATGCATACATGCATACATACATACATACATACGTACATATACATACATACATATACATATACATACATACATATACATACATACATATACATACATACATATACATACATATACATACATACATACATAGACATACATACATATACATATACATACATATACATATACATATACATATACATTTACATATACATATACATATACATTTACATATACATATACATATACATATACATATACATATACATACACATACATACATACATACATACATACATACATACATACATACATACATACATACATACATACATACATACATACATACATACATACATACATACACATACTGCGAATGGGGACACAGTAAGAGCAACACCTATACTCCCCATGTAAATAGTCGTTTACCCAAATGCCAGGGGACCACAAAATCGACGGTCCTTTTGGCTCAAGACCCCATACCGCAGGATCCAAGTGAAAGAGAGCCATGCTGAAGCCTGCCTCTGGTTGACCATTGTGATACGCGAAACTGATCGTTCAGCAAGGAACATACGGACACATACTAGGGAACGTCCGATTCACAGGTTATCAGCCGTAGCGGCCTCCCACGGAGCCTACGTGCGGGTACCTGCGGACCTTACAATCGATGGCTGAAGAGGACAGTAGCGATAACGCATTCTCATTTGCTGGACATGCCGCCGCACCAGCTGCCGGCACGCAGTCAAATTCTTCACAGAGTTTCGATACTGGTGGAAGCGAAACCTCAGAACTGAGACCTAGAAAATCCAAACGACCTCTGGTTGCCCCGAGAGGGAGATTAATGCCGACAATGCAAGCAATCGAAGACAGGGACAGTACACCTGGAAAGAGAAGATCGTCCGCACGACAATCGTCGCCTCCGACGACTCCGAGGACTAAGGCAAAGCCTACATCTTCGAATCCGCCTTCACCGATTCAGGACGCTACACCATCAGGAGTAGGATCTTTTCAACAAGTGAATGCTCCATCAAGTGGTAGCGACGTCTTCACTGCCTATCAGAGTGAGCTATCAGAGTACAAAGTATCACTGGACAGGGCCACTGAAGAAGAATCTGTGCTTCAGGCGAGATTAACCGAAATGGCCGCTTATGCCGACCAACAATTCAACTACCTGGAGAACACCACTCATCATGAGATGACATCGATGGCTCGACAGCTTCAAGCCCTGAATTCTGAGCTGCTCGCCGCACAACAAGAGGACGAAGGAGCAACTTACAGGATTGAAGAGCTGGAGAGGTATCGAACTATGTCAAATGAAGCAGCATCCCATCTGGAACATCGATACTCACAATTGAGATCTGAATTCAGTGAACAAATGGGACAAGCGAGTGCAATCATGGTACATGTGGGTACAGATGCAAGTGCTCATATTAATCAACTCAGATTGGAACTGGAAAACGCAGAGATGAATGCAAAGCAGGAAGCCCTAGCTGTCGGATATGCCAATGACCAAACATGTGCACTTCACATTGAGATGCTCGAGATTGCGAATCAGAACCAAACAATGAAGAGCACCATGTCACTGAACATCAGACGGCTGGAAACGGAGCTCGATTCTGCTGATGCGAAGAGGGAAGATATCATGAGAGAACTTCGTAGTGATCTGAGATCCGAACACAACAGATATTCTGAATGTGAACACCATCTAGCTCTGGAGGAATCACAACTACAGCTACAGGTCATCCGCAATGAAGGATTACAATCACAACTGGCCACATCGGAGATTCGGTATTCTGAAGAGTTGACCTCTAAGGTGAGCGGGATGCGTGATATGAGGATCATGGAACTACGATCTGAACTACACATGAAACAAAGCCTTTTGGATCGGATGCAACAACAACTGACTGAATCGAAGAATCAGTATCATGAACTCTCGTGCCAACAAGCAAGACATGCATCTCCAAGTGTTTCACCATCACATGGGATTTACTATGAGATGTATAATCAATTGCATGGTGAGTACGAGAAGGCCATCAAATACAAGGATGACGTTGACGCTATGCTGCGGAGGACTAGAGCTGAGCTTATCGACAATGAGGCGCTGCTCAAGACCTATCAAAGCTCGTACGACTCATTGGGAAAGAAGTACCAAGATGCTTTGGGAAGGATTGACTTCATGAGCAACAATCCAAACACTTCCAGTAACCTATTTGACGCTTTGCACAATGAGATCAGTGACAGAGATGAGGCAATCAAACGACTTAACACTGAAGTTGCGACACAGGAAGAATCCCTCAATCGTGCTCATCGTGATGCCGGTAAAGCTATCAGTATGTTGAATGATAGACGACTCGTCATCAAGGGAGCAACAGATTATACTATTCCTGAGAGTCACCTGACAGAAATGCACCATCTTGTCAGTGAACGTCAAACGGAGGTGGAAGAAATGTCGAACACCATCGCTGCACTGAAGCTCGAGAACCAGGCCGCTTCTTCTTCTACACAGAACCTGCAAGCTATAATGTATGGATCGTCCAACAATGCTTTTCCCAGGAACGAATGTGAAGAGAAGTGTGCTAAATTGAAAGCTGAACTGGAAGAGATGAAACAAGAGAAGAAGTCAGAAGTTAATGCTCTTCGTGATGAACT